TCAGGTGGCCCAAGTTCTATTTGGCTCCCCTGCCCCCTCCAACCTTCCCCTGCTGCCCTGACCCTCCTTGGGCAGCACAAGGGTCCCCGTGAGGGTCTTCCTCCCTCTGAGCAGGGTCGTGGTCTCCCCACGCTTCCTCCCTGCTCCCTGAGTCATAAAATCATAGAATGTTAAGGGGGTGGAATAGACCCTATAACTCATCTAGTCCCAACCCCCTGCCCTGGGCAGGGACACCTCCCACCAGACCAGGTAGCTCAAGGCTTTATCCAACCTGGCTTTGAATACTGCCAGGATTGGGGCATCCACTACCTTGCTGGGCAGCCTGTGCTAGTGTCTCACCACCCTCACAGGAAAGAATTTCTTCCTACTACCTATTGTAAATTTCTCTCTTGTCAATTTGCACTCATTGTCTTGTCACTGCAGCTCCTAACAGTTCCTCTGCAGCTTCCTTCCATCACGCTGATCCCAGCGCTCTGGCTGCGAGGATAACCCAGCTCCATCCCCTCCCCATCCCTGCTGCTGCTGCTGCTGAGCTCCTCTCTGTTTCCCCAGTGATTTTTCCTGGGAAAGGTCCCTCCGCACGCTGTCCCTGGGGTCTCCCAGCATGGAGTTTGCGGAGCTGATCAAGACGCCCCGAGCAGACAATGTGGTGCTGCACCGCCCGTTCCACACGGCCGTGGAGGGGACGCTGTGCCTCACCGGGCACCACCTCATCCTGTCCTCCCGGCGCCAGGAGAACGCAGAGGAGCTGTGGCTGCTGCACTCCAACATCGACTCCATCGAGAAGAGGTAACCCCTCGCCGCGTTCTCCTGCCTGCCTGCGGTGTGTGGGTGCTGGGTTAGACTGTGATTGTGGTTCCTCAGGTGTGCAAAGCTGAGAGTGGAGAGGAGGAGGATGGTGGCACAGGCAGGTTGGTTCTGGTGCTGTTGGGATGTTGATATTTGTTCAGTCACAGAATATTCAGAGTTGGGAGGGACCCACAAAGATCATAGAATCTTAGGAGTTGGAATGGACCTTAGAGATCATCTAGTCTCAACCCCCTGCCCTGGGCAGGGACACCTCCCACTGGACCAGGTTGCTCAAGACTTCATCCAACTTGGCTTTGAACACTGCTGAGAATCATCTAGTCCAACTCCTGGCCCTGCACAGGACACCCCAACAATCCACCCTGTGCCTGAGAGCATTGTCCAAATGCTCCTTGAGTTCTGTCAGGCTTGGGACTGTGACCACTGCCCTGGGGAGCTGTTCCGGTGTCCAGCCACCTTCTGGGGAAAGATCTTTTCCTGATATCCAACCTAAACTCAGTCTTAAAGGTTAATTTTTTGGTCATAGAAGGAGTCAGAGTTTTTGTGTTCAAACACTTTTACTCTGTTCATTGTTCCGTGGATTCATCACTAACCTTTGGAGCATTTGATAAACACTGTGCAGTGCAGAGGGAAGTCAGAGCACTGCTGAAGGGATTTGCCTTGTGTCACACCCCAAAACTGATGGCAGAAGTGACTCTAGACTTGCTCAGCCCCAAATCAATGTCATCCATCACTTCTCCACCTCTATATGGGAATCAATAGCCCTTCAACAGCATATTCCTTGTGGGAACGGCACAGTAAAGCCGAGTTGTGGCTGCAGCAACTCAATTTTTTCCTTGCCCAGGCCATTATTATTACAGAGACATGATTCATCTTTTTAAACATTTTACCCTCATTTCTCTCTGCTTTGCCTGCACCATTGTCCCCTCGCACTTCCCTCAGAGAGTGTCTGCCCCATATCACCTGATCATTGTGTTCTTTGTCCTCACCTTGGTCCTTTTTTTTCCACCTTCCTCATAATACTTCAGATGTTTGTTAAGTCCCTTCCTTATTTTGTTAATTCAGTTTCTTCCCTGTTTTCCTTGCCTTTTAAGGAAATCTGGTGGAATCCTTTTCCTTTCTGCCAGCAGGACTGGAAGCATCAAGCAATGTAACACTCCCGGCTGGCGCAGAGTGTGGGATGGGGGAATTGCTCTATGCTGATTCCTGATTAAGGCTGTTCCTGATTTCTCTGAGCCTTTCTGAGACAGGAAAGGAGCAGAGGGGTGGAAACCTCAGAGAATCTGTTCCCACCCAGCACTGCTCAGGGTGGTTTGGTCTCATCCTTGTTACTCCTTGTACTAAACCAGCCTTGGCTTCATCTTGAAAATTAATGTTTACAACCTCTTATTTCTTTATTTTTTATGAGCTTAGCTGGAGTTGCAGTGTGAGTTAATCTCAAATAATCAAGGAACATGGAGTTCTGAGGAGGGAGTAGTGTACTGCTGCCTCAGTACGTGATTTACAACAGACTTACTAATGTCTGCAGACACTCACAGCCCTTATTTGTTACAAGGGCTCTTGAGCAGAGCATGAGTAGCTTTGTGAGAGTGTAACTGCAGTGAAACTTGGCCATATAAAAGGATAAGAGTATTTTGTCCTGGAGAAGAGGACTTTCTGCTGGAGAGAATGGAACAACAACACTACCAAATCAATAAAGACTGTAGGAAGGTCGAGCTTGGCACTGCCTCAGGTTATTAGTGCACAACACTGTGCCAAGATCATCAAATCTCCGACTCTCATGGTATGACATGGTTTCTGTACAAAACAGTTTTCCCTAATTATCAGAGTATCAAACTGCTTTGTGAATTTTTGGAGCTCTTTAAGTGACTGAAATGTGACTAGTGAGGAGTTTCTGTGAGCTATTTGCGTTGTAAACTGATTTTTTCTGGGCTTACTTGATTTGCAAGCACTGGTGACAGATAAGGCTTTCACTTCCTGAGGTCTGCAGAGCAAATAGTGGCACTGCAGGTATCAGTCACCAAACTTGTTTGTTAAATCATGAATCCCAGACTGTTTTGAGTTGCTCCAAGCCCCATCCAACCTGGCCTTGCACACTTCCAGGGATGGGGCAACCACAGCTGCTCTAGACAACCTGTGCCAGTGTCTCACCACCCTCACAGCGGTGTCATATTTATACTTGCAAATACCAAATAATGAGTTGGGTTTGTTCCTTTGTTTTCTTGACAGAAGATATTGGAGATAAATTGCCGCTAATGGAGTTTTGCCTTGTAGACATTTATTGTGGGAAGAGCTGCAATACCTTGTAATTCCTTCCCAGAAAGGCTCATTAGACACTGGAATGTGCTGCCCAGTGGGGTGGTGGAGTCACTGTCCCTGGAGATGTTGAAGGAAAGACTGGATGTGGCACTTAGTGCCATGGTCTAGTTGACATGGTGGTGTTAGGTCATAGGTTGGACTTGATGATCTTGGAGGTCTTTTCCAACCTAATGACTCTGTGATTCCTTAGCAGACCCTATGCTTACCAGACTCTTCCTTCCTGTCTTGCTGCAGGTTTTTGGGCTCATTGGGGACCATCATTATAAAATGCAAAGATCTGAGAATAATCCAGCTGGACATTCCTGGCATGGAAGAGTGTTTGAACATCGCGAGCTCCATCGAGGTGAGAACTTACCATGATGAATAAAACCTTCAGATGTTCATCTCACCTCAACCCATGAGGTTGTGGGATATTTCTAGAATGTTTTGGACTTCCCATCCCTGGAAGTGTTCAAGGCCTGGATGGATGGGCCATGGAGCAACCTGCTCTAATGGAAGTTGTCTTTGCCAATGGAAGGGAGTTGGAACTAGTGATCTTTAAGATCCCTTCGAACCCAAACTATTCAATTATTTCCTATAATTGCGTAAAAAATGTTTGCTGCTTGTAGGGTTTTAATTAAATTTAAATCCCCCAAAACCTGCTTTTCTTGAGCACATTTCTTGCCATAGCATTTGGGAAAGGGAAGCTCAGCTTCATTATGCTGGAGCATGAGGAACAAGAGAGTCATGGAGTGCCAGGACAAGGGGGACTGGCTTCAGACTGTCAGAGGGAAGGGTTAGGTGGGATATTGGGGAGGAATTCTTCCCTGTAAGGGTGCTGAGGCACTGGCACAGGTTGCACAGAGAAGCTGTGGCTGCCCCATCCCTGGAAGTGTTCCAGGCCAGGTTGGATGGGGCTTGGAGCAACCTGGTCTAGTGGAAGGTGTCCCTGTCCATGGCAGGGGTTGGAATGAGATGAATGTTAAGGTCCCTTCCCACCCAAACTATTCCATGACTCTGTGAAATTCCATGAGTAGATCTGGGGTCATGTCTGCCTGTTGTTTTTAAGGAAAGCGGAAGGACATGGAATGAGATGAGCTCTCAAGTTCCTTCCAGCCCGACCCATTCCATTATTTCTCTCATCCTCACAGGCACTTTCCACCCTGGATTCAGTGACCCTCATGTATCCCTTCTTCTACCGCCCCATGTTTGATGTCCTGGAAGATGGCTGGCGCTCCTTCCTGCCTGACCAGGAGTTTGAGCTGCTCAGTTCAATGGTAAGTTGGATTTAAAGGATTTGCACAGGATAGTCTGTGAAATATTTTCCCTGGGACTGTCTGGACTGGAAATCCTGGATGGTACAGAATAGCTGTGTGATGCCTGGATGAGAAGTGAGTGTTCGATATTCCCTCTGCAAACACAAGGCATTTCTTTGTCTGTGTTTCACCTTGTACAAATGAAGGTTTGAGGCCTTTTTAAAAGTCCCCTGGGAAGACGTGAAGTTAGGACATGTTTTTGGCCTTTGGAGATGATTCCCTTTAGTGTAAGAACAAACTGAAGACCTTTGGCTTGGGTTTGTTGTACTTAACTTTGCATCTGGAGTGGAGTGGAGTGAGATGGATCTTTGTCACCACCTTAATTGAAGTGAGGCTGTTCTGAAAAACAGCTCAGAATTTCTTAGCTCTCTGGAGGGAGATGACAGTGAAGATGCCCAATTTGAAACACTCTGGATGCAAAGTTAAATACAACATACCCAGACCAAAATTGGTCAGTGCTGGAGGAATACTCAGAGGGTTTAGAAAGCAGGAAACTTCCGCTCCTCTTTTTCCAGCTGCTGTTGAGCATATGTTGATATCATTTTGGTACCTATAGGGCTGGGATTGTTCTTGTGGCATTGCCTATTGTATCTGTCAGCAAACTTCATTTTAGGATGCTGAATTTGTCAGAGTGGGAACTACTTCAGGAACCTGTTTTAGTAGCTCTTTGGATTAATATCTCTGTGTTCCGGGTCTTTGTTCCCATCCAGTATGTGCACTTGCTCCGTCATCTCAGGTTTCTGAGCCCAAATCCATTAGCACAGCAGCAAAGAACATTGATTTTTATTTCTTTTCCCTGCAGCCCAGCATGTCTGCAGCATCCAGCACTTCCTGGCTCTGACTAATAACTGAATAATATGATTAGCTTGACCAGTGATGAAATCACTAGAAAATTAAAGGGTTTTTTTGCTATTTTTGCCTCCTAATTAGGTTCCTCTCATGTGTCTTCTCTTCATCTGTTGTCAAAACACAGACAAACTAACCTGTTAGCATAACTAGCAGCACATGGATCTCTGAATGTGCTTTCCCCCCCGATTTCTCCAGGCATTTAACAATAATTTGTGAATCTTTTGCCTTGCTGAACATAAGGTCCTTGTAAGACTTACATTTAAAACCTTATTACTTCATTGCACTACATTTCCAAGGCAATAATTCATGTCTTTAAGATACACATGTCTAACAGCTGTTGATTAATTCTTGACTTTTAACCCAAACCATCACATTTTTAACAAAATGGTGCCAAAAGCCACAGTCCAAGTGATTTACATTTCCCGAACAACTGATAAATATATTGTTGACCAAATATTTATTGTTCTGTGATGAACCTGTCTCATGTGACAGGCTGGAATGAGGGAATGGCTGATTTAATTCTTTCTCCATAAGTCCAATGAATAGAATTCCAAAGGTTCCTCCCTCTCCATTAAATCATCCATCTAGATCTGTTATCCATTAGCTTCCCCAATACGGTAACAAGTCCAAAAGTGCCTTTCACCCACTTTGCAGCTCTTGTGATGTATTAATTCCACATTTATCTGCTCCAGGAGAGTTGTTTTAGCACCTGGACACACTCTAGAATGGCCAAGTAAAACTATGAAAGTTAAGATTTAAAAAAAGTTAGGTAATATATTAAACATGTAGATAATTTAATGTTATTTGTGTTCTTCACTGCATAACCAATGAGGGGCTGAATCGAATTCAGTTTGTGCAAGGGTTTCATGTTGTTTTCTGAGCAGTCAGAGAAGAGCTAAGAGGTTTCTCTTCTGCTAAATTCCCTAGCTGCAGGACACTGCAAACTGACTTTGGAGTTTCAGTTTCTTCAAAAAATTAAGTGTAGGGACCAGGAGAAGTTTATACACTAACAGTATAATTGACATAAAGGGGTTTAATTGCAAAACAATTCATTTCATTCTCCATTTTTTCCTCCCTTTACCTCCCTTTTTTCTCCTTTTCCTTTACTCCCTTTTTTCTCCTTTTCCTTTACTCCCTTTTTTCTCCTTTTCCTTTACTCCCTTTTTTCTCCTTTTCCTTTACTCCCTTTTTTCTCCTTTTCCTTTACTCCCTTTTTTCTCCTTTTCCTTTACTCCCTTTTTTCTCCTTTTCCTTTACTCCCTTTTTTCTCCTTTTCCTTTACTCCCTTTTTTCTCCTTTTCCTTTACTCCCTTTTTTCTCCTTTTCCTTTACTCCCTTTTTTCTCCTTTTCCTTTACTCCCTTTTTTCTCCTTTTCCTTTACTCCCTTTTTTCTCCTTTTCCTTTACTCCCTTTTTTCTCCTTTTCCTTTACTCCCTTTTTTCTCCTTTTCCTTTACTCCCTTTTTTCTCCTTTTCCTTTACTCCCTTTTTTCTCCTTTTCCTTTACTCCCTTTTTTCTCCTTTTCCTTTACTCCCTTTTTTCTCCTTTTCCTTTACTCCCTTTTTTCTCCTTTTCCTTTACTCCCTTTTTTCTCCTTTTCCTTTACTCCCTTTTTTCTCCTTTTCCTTTACTCCCTTTTTTCTCCTTTTCCTTTACTCCCTTTTTTCTCCTTTTCCTTTACTCCCTTTTTTCTCCTTTTCCTTTACTCCCTTTTTTCTCCTTTTCCTTTACTCCCTTTTTTCTCCTTTTCCTTTACTCCCTTTTTTCTCCTTTTCCTTTACTCCCTTTTTTCTCCTTTTCCTTTACTCCCTTTTTTCTCCTTTTCCTTTACTCCCTTTTTTCTCCTTTTCCTTTACTCTCTTTTTTCTCCTTTTCCTTTACCCCCTTTTTTTCTCCTTTTCCTTTACCCCCTTTTTCTCTCTTTTCCTTCCCTTTTTTTAATAGTAGGAAATAGCTCAGGGTTCTGGACACTTCAGCTGTGCTTTATCTTCATATTGGATCTTCTTAAAAAAAGGCTGAATTTCCTGGGTTTGGGCTCAGTTTACACTGGTGTGTCACCCACATCTTGCTCTTACCAGACAGACATCAACCTTTGCATCTGTTATGCTCCTTATTCCTGCACAACCTGTTCCTAACAGGGCTTGTTCCTTGGGAATGGCCTATGCCATTGCTACTCTGCAGGATCCCTCAAGGTCCATCCTGATTTCTTGACTCTTTTTAAGCCTTATTAGTACAGCTTAAATTATTTCCCCCTGTTTGTGGAAAACACTCTCTCCAGGCAATTCTAAGTTCTAGGAGGAAGGATAACTTGGACATTTGGAAATCAATGTCTCTGAACAAGTACTAGGACAAGAAGAGTAGAAATATAAGAGTTAATCCTGCACTAAGATTAGGAAAATACTCCTTTTTCCTTGGAGTCCTCTCCATTTTGCTCATCCCCAGTCTTTTACTGCCTCTGTCCTTAACTGGAATGAACTTCTCTTGATTCCTGAAAGTCCAGATCTCTTTCTGGGAGAATCAGATGTTCACTTTGTCCTTTCTCTGAGTGTCACACAGCATATTTACCTGGAGATGGCTGCAGGTGAGGTCCCCTCAGGCCTTGCTGCACATAGTCAAATTGCTGCTGCCTCACTCTTCCAGTTGGAAATGGCCGTTTTTCTTCCAAATCACAGACATACCCCAAGCAAAAGCTAAGAAGAGTTTATTTTAGCAGCCTGAAGCTGGCACAGCAGAGGTTAACTGCATCTGTGCTAGGGAAGACAAATGGTGCCAGTTGCTGCCAGGCTCCTCCTCCTTTCCATGTAACAGGGAATTGTAACTGGATGACATAACAGGATCATCTGTCTCCTGTTAGAAATGCTGAGGAGAGGTTATGGGCAGAGTTAAGTTACCAAAGTGGGATATAAAGCAGGTGATTCCCCTCATTCCTTTTCATACTGGTGATCCCAGTGACAGCCAGTTTTTCAAATACATCCCAGAGTTCTGGATTTGCCTTCTCCACATTCTGTATGGCAGTAAAGTATTTATCAATGCTATATTCCAGATCCATAGTGCATATTTTTATATGCATAATGTCCATAAATGCATATTTTTGCATTGTAATAAAATTACACATCTTTATATGTAAATTAACACAGACACCCCAAAAAGCTGTTAAAATACCCTTACTGAAGCATTAAAGCTGAAGCTGTGACCAGCCACATCCCTTACAGGATCCAGAACTTTCCATCTCTGCTTATAACATGCTGACCAGATGCAATTTAGCTTTGCAGTTGGGAGAACCTCTACCTTTTATAAAGTGTGGCTGTTCAGAGAAGTTACTTTGAGGCTAAGGAATAAGGAAATAAGCATACAACAGGGATGGTGCAAAACTGTCCAGCTGGGCCCCTGCACACAGTCAGGAATTGCTGCTCTTGGTGATGATGATGATGTTTTTCCCAGCATTTTCTTCTTAGGCTGCCACCAAAAAAGACAATTTTCCTGTCTCTAATGCCACACATCCCTTGCCTTGGACCTCCTGATGATGAAATAGTGTTGTGATTCAGGTCAGCTTGTTCAGCTGATGGAAATCTTTTATTGCCAGAAAACCTTCCTGAATTGATCCCAGTTTTTCACTGGCCCAGTGCACCAGTCAGATTGATTTATATAAGCAAGTAGCAGGCAGGAGGTCTATGACAAGAGGTTGTGAGGCTCTGGAAGAAAGGAAAGAGGGAAA